CCAATTTTACCCATGACCGTTGGAAATTATGTACCTCGTTCGTAAATTGCTTATGATTCTTTTGAATATGTGTCTTTCGTTTAACCCCTTTTTCTCATTTATGAACCAATGCTTTGTTTTCTGCTGTGACCTTGCTGTAAATTCTTACTACTAGATAAATTAGAGTTTGACATGAATATGTAATCACTTTTATCAATGAAGCTCTTTCTCTTTGCATCTCTATGTCTTTCTTTGTTCTTTTTTTCTCATTTCAAAACACTGACATTCCGATTCCGATAGTTTATATTTGAAATTGTTGACCAATGTTTGTAGATATCTCGTCAGTGCAGCTATAAAATAGTTAGTCATAGTATCTATGCGCATTTTTTGGATATTCCACACACCGATTTTTAGCCATTTGCCCTTACCGCTACCAGGAGTAATAGGAGTTTATGGGTCGGCATTAGCCAAATGGTCTTCTCAAAGTTCTATAGGGTCTGAAAGACATAATACAGAGCTCTATATTCACGCATAGGATATGAAATTCTTAGAAAGCAGCGAAAGTACTAAACAAGAAGCACACTTTTTATTTTTAAGATCTATATTTCTAATCAATTTATAATCATGTCTATCTCTGTAATAACTAAATGCTTACCATATATTATTTTACTGTTGATTTTAACTACATTCTGTGGAAATTTGCAACTATTCGGTCACATCATTTTATCCGTTTATAATTAGAACAAGCACTTGGTGCTCCCTTATCAGTAATATTAAATAAAAGTATATCATTTTAACCATGAATCGTATTTGCATCCTTTTCTGGTCCAGCGCTGCTATATGATACTAAAGGGTTATGATTTTGTTAATCAGCATATTTAATTAGGGTATCTAGGAGCCGTTTCTTCAAAAGCTATTCAGAGTCATAATTTTATATCAAATCATAGCGTAGTCCATTTCAGTACATAATAAGATTGTTCGTCATTGTCAGCAGTGTCGATTTACTCTTTCCAGTAGTTAGGAATATCTCGAAGAGCAACCTGCAGGAGGAGCTAAAGTCTAACAACGTTTTTAGGAGCTACTCTTTAGCAAAACAAATTCAATAATATTTATGGTT